GTAGCACAGTACATGGGGTAGATTACACAACACCTTGCTCATCATTCTGCTGAACGTTGCTGGTGCGTTGACAAGTCCGAAACTCATGACATTAAATTGAAACAACCCAAAAGGACTACTAAACGCTGTAAGTGGTTTAGCTTTATCTACCAAAGGTATCTGCCAATACCCACGGGTCAGGTCTAGCTTTGTAAAAAATGTTGCGTCTGCCATTTGAGGTAACAAGTCTTCAGGATTGGGTAATGGTTCCGAATTAAGCACAATAACTTTGTTAAGCTTCCTATAGTCAACACATATTCTTACTGCGCCTGATTTTTTTTCTAACCACCACCATAGGTGCCGTGTATGGTGACTCTGTTGGTGATATAATATCTAACTTCAACATCAATTGAATCTCTTCTTCCATTTCTTTCATATACCCTAAAGGTACTGGATACGGTTTTTGTTTCACTGGTTCAGAGTCTTTGATAATGATGTCGTGTTTAATTGCTGCAGTTCTCCCTGGTACATCCGTCAAGATATTATCATATCTGGCCAGTACTTCTTTCACTTGCTTCGTTTGCTCTACTGATAATGACTCTTCAATTTTGCAATCTGTCCAAGTTTCTGATTGCTTTAAAGCTAATACAGATAGTAATGAGCCAGTCAATTCATTTTCGGTTTCCTTTCATGTAGAAAAGCCACTAACTGAGGATTGCAAGATGTGAGGATCTTGTCTCTGATGGACAGATCAATGAGACCTTCGAATGTCTTTTCAGTATTTGACAATTCGACCCAACGCATTAAGTATCTTGTAATGTCCTCAACAAATTCATGGAATGGCTGGTTTCTCTCTGGTATAGCTTTATGGAACTTCACTCTATACCCATCATCTGTCAAGTTGTATCTTTTCATCAATACTTCTTTCACCTTGTCATATTCCTCTAAATCTTTCTTAGAAAAGTTGATACAAGCTTGCAGTGCATTTCCCAGTAACAATGTATAAAGATGACTTCCCCATTGAGTTTTAGGTATTTCTGTAGCTTGAGCATGCACTTCAAATCTCGCCAAATATGCATCCATTTGATCCACGTTCTCATTAAAAGTTGGCAACTTTGGCTTGCATACAGGTTTTATATGCTCTTTGATTTCTCCTATCGTCTCCCTAAGCTCCAACTCTCTATCTGATACGTAAGTTCTCATATAATGACATTTCTGAAGTAAACTTTTTGTAGTATCTAAGGATTGTAGTTTTCTATACTAAATCATCTACAAATAATTCCAGTGCTATATCTGTATGTAAACAATCAAAGTAGTGAGCCTTAAATGAAGGTTTAAAAGAATGTATGACTCATTTGCTCGCTACCAATTTCGAAATCCTGGCTCCATTGTTGTAGACCAGAAATATTAAAAGTATTAAATGATTATTATGAATGTAAGATGGTAGAACTAGATCAGACACTTTAGAGAAGTCAAATGAAATGGTTCTATTTCTGCTCAGATTAATATGCAAACCTTTTGTAAAAATTTTTTTTCTTGTCTTGTTCAAATAATGATGAAACTGGACTACAATTTAATTGTTGTTTTTTTTCCCCCCCTTATTTTAAAAAGGTGTGACATAAACTTTAAGGACTGAAAAAGTCTATTGAATGTTGGTGCTAGTTCATTTAGTCTAGAAGGCCATCTGGTCTAAATGCTTCATTCAATTTTAACTTTGTAATTTTTCTACACTCTCTGTACTCTATTATTCTCATTGGTTGAAATTTAGTCGAATGTCTCTTGTATCCTGGTTAGGGTTCATTTGGAGATTTTGTAGGAATGTATATTCTGCCTTTGGGCACTATAGCCTTGGTTGGCAGCCAGTCTAGGAGATGGAAACTCCAAGTTTAAACCTACTGCTGTCTACAGCCAGTGGTACTGGTCAATTATCACTTTTAAAAAACTCTGCACAGGCTGGATGCAACATTTTATGTAAGAAGCAGCTGGGACTGCATTCCTCATTAATCTTCGGACTTGAAGACAAGCCTTTTAATTATTATACAAGATTTAGTAGTGACTATCATGACATGTCATCTCTTTCTCTCCTCATTGAGGATACCATCGTTCATTTGAGCTCGTTAAATTAAATTATTGTTTGATTTGATAAACTTTACCTTGTCTTATATAAAAAGAGAATGCATTCCCCTTTAAATCTATACCAAATAAAACATATTCTAATAAACAAAAACGTTATTGAAGCTTAATCATAACAGGGTTGTGAAATACTACTGAGCAAAATAAAGAATCCCGTCGAAACGTAATAATACGGAGAGAAAGAGTTAAGGCTTGTTTTTTTTTTCTCTTTCCATTAAGTTTATCAGTATAATAAGTAATTAAAATATAGATAATCTAACTCAATACCAGAATTTCAAGTTAGAAACCAATGGAAAAAAGACAATGGAATTGAAAATTTTATTGCATGGAAATTGAATGTACATAAGGGTATGATAGGTATTTGAACTATAAACATAGGAACATGCGACAAAGTCTATTTACAACAAGCATCAGCTCACAGTTTGGGTCTATACAAAAGTTGCACCAACTCCTTCCTTCACATCAAGATCTGAAACAAAACAAAATAACATATCAACTCATACAATTTCACAAAGTTTGTAGAAGTAAAAAACACCTAGGCTTGAAATATGATTCATACTTTTCCTGATAAGCAGAAGTTAAAAAAGACTACCACCTTTATATAAGAGAAAGTCATAGCTTTAACACCCCTAATCACTGAGATAAAGCTTTCACTTTGTTAAACTACATTCTATACAGAATGTGACAGTTTTAATGTCATCCTGAAAGTAATAAGATAAGACAAGTTCTTCCAACAACTTGAAAGAATATTGAGACAACAGAAAATAGGGTAATCATGGAGCATTATCCCTTTTTCACCACAGTCCTATCAGGTCTGGATAACTGTTAAAAAGTATAGTTGGGTGGGTTTCAAAGTGTAAGGTTAGAACAAGTGGGTTGTAATCTGATTATTCACAAAATGTTTTAGCATACCTTGATCGAGATCTACTGCGTTTTCTCTTCGATGTCTTACCACGATTCCTTCTCTCACTCCCATACTCCTTTTCTACCCCCTTTTCATACTCATCCTTGGTACCCTTTGACTTGTGCTTCTTTTCCCGTGGAGGGGAAGACTTTCTGACCCTGCTGCTGCTGACATCGCTATCTGAGGAGGACACGGACGGCTTTCTTTTCTTGCTAGATTTGGAAGATATGTGAGCACTTGAGATTTCATCAGCATGGCGCGAGGATCTATCTCTTTCCCTGCTTCTACTTTTCTTAGTCCTAGAGTCTCTAATGTCCCTAGTTGAACTACTTTTCCTAGACCTATCTCTACGCCTGTGCCTCTCGTCAAGTCGATCCCTATATCTGTCATCCTCTACAGAGTCCCTAGATCTATCATCTACTCGACTGCGAACATCTCTATCCCTGGAGAGGCTTCGCCTATCTTTGCCTCGGCTAGAGCTTCTCTTACTTCTATCTTTACTTCTACTTCTCCTATCCCTCCTGGAGCTTTTCTCTTTACTTCGACTTCTACTCCTGTCCCTACTACGACTTCTGCTTCTTCTATCTCTGCTACAACTGCGCTTTCCTCTCTTAGCTCTATCGACACTTCTTTCTCTCCTCATTTCTTTGTGTATGTTACTTTCAGCACTTTCTAAACTTCTACTTTTATCTTTTAATTTCTCTCGACTAGAATCTTTGAACTCTTTACTTTTGGAAAATTCACTGTCCTTTTCAAAAGATCTACGTTTTTCATTATCAACAGTTTTGTTAGGTTTTAATTTTTCTACACTTTGTGAATCCCTCCTTTGCTTAATATCTTTTACCTTCCCAGTCTCGGACCTAACCTTATCAGGACTAACTTTTTTACTTTTGTCTGGTTCTGGTAATTTACTGTCATGTTTTTCAGAACTCTTACTGCTTTTAGCCCTAACAGATTTTTTGGCAGGTGCCTCATCCTCTGATGAAGATGATGACGACGATGATGAGGATGAAGAAGAAACACTACTATCACCATTTTCGTCATCATCATCATCACTCCCGCTGGACTCACTACTACTGCTAGAAGAACCAGAACTAGAGGATGAGGAAACCTCACTACTTGACTTACTCTTCCTTTTAACTTTCACTAAACTTTTAACTTTTTTATCCCTAGAAACCTTTTCATTATCCCTAGATACTTTCATGTTATTCCTAGACGCCTTCTCATTTTTTATTTTCGTACTTTTACTGTCTCTATTTTTCTCGTCTTTGTGGACCTTACTATCTTTTTTTAAGTCACCAGAAATTCTTCTTTGATCACGACTTTCATCTTGTTTAATTGTAGATTTCTCAGACGCCCTCTTCTTGTCTACCTCCTCTTGGTCTTCATCTACCCTCTCACTACTTTTTTTTCTGTGATCTAGAGATTTGTTTCCATCCTCCCCAGAGTCTCGTCGCCTAAGCCTGTCTGCTTTAGAGTCACTACTGCTTTGTCGTTCTGTCTTAACATTCTTTGAATCTAATTTAGCATCGCTATGTCGCCTATTTCGTTCCTCGTCCCTATTTCTGGATAATTTCCCAGACACTTCGTCCTGTTTAGATCTCGACTTTGATTTTTCAGGTGTCTGCTGCTTACCTAGACACATAAAGAAAAAGATAAGTATGCGAGGGAAAAAGTATACATTTCATTATTTTTAAAAAAAAAAACCTTTAAAAATACAAAATGTTGGGAAGAAACCTAAAGAAGCGAAAGAAGACTAAAGTAATTAAAAAAAAATCTTGCCATGAAATAGTGGTGAGTATTTGGTAGAAATTTTAAGTTAAGAAAAAAAAAAAAAAGATTTGCTTACCAACAGTATCTTCTTCATTGTCACTTAAGTGACGATGTCTCTTAGCGAAGTCTTCTTTCTTACGCCGGATTCTTTCTTTCAAATCAGAGTCAGAATCATCTCCATCATCATCTGAGTCCTCTGTGCCACTGGTGTCACTTCCTGTCCCATAGCCCACTGCTGGAAACGGTTAACTAGCTTTAAAAATTGCCAAAGAACTTCTCATAACGTGTTAACAGCACAGTACTAATTTACAGCAAAAAGGAAACAGTCTTAGAGCTCAGTATTAAATCAACAAATTCTGAATTTATATCAATAAATCAAACATTAAATATTCTAAAAGCCTTCTTTGCTAAGTTATCAGTAATCCACTTACCCAAGGAGGTCAAAGAAGCCAAAGCCGAGGACTTGGCAAGTTGCTTTGCTGGAGCTTTGATATAATTACACAGAGACTGACATTAGTGGAGAAATCAAGAGAACAATACTAGCAACACACAAAATTAAAGGGAGGTAAGAGCTGAAAAAAAAAAAACGGTCTGGAGCAGTAAACTGTGTGTGGTCATGATGTGGCTGGCTTAGCATACGGTCACCACACATGGTTTGCTCCACAGACATCCTGAAACAGCTCAATTGGCAAAAAAAAAACAACAAAGAAATATATAGGCAAAAACCTGTGGATAAGAAACTACAGAACAATTTTATTAAACTGGACTTATTAAAAAAAAAAAAATCTATTTATTTTAAATGCCTTATATATTACTTACCCTTTAAACATTAAAATTGAGAATAAGATAGAAAATATAAAAAAAAAAAAAAGGTTTTCAGAAGTTCGTATCTAGAATAATATTCTTAAAGCATAATTCTTTAAAATATTTGAAAACAATAGCAGTGAACAAGATGTCATGTTTTCAAAAAATTAAATACAAAAGTAAAAGCTACGTTTTTGATTTTTTTGGACAGTGTACCTTTCATTGCTTTTTTACGAGCTCTTTGAATCACTTCCAGAGCAACAGCTTGTATCTCCGAATTGGTGACCTCCAGTAACGTTTCTGTTAGCATTCTCTTCACTTTCATCATCTGAGAAACATTTCATGTCACAATGTTAAACCTGGCATGGAATCTATTACAATCATACACAATTTTAAACCAAAGCAGAAAATGTATATCAACTTATGTTACCAAAACCTTACACTATTCAAGTTTTTAAAAGATATTTTCATCTAGCTTGTTTGACATTTCTTTTCCTCAATGTCACAACAAACATATAAACTATTTTAGACAGCAGGATTCAAGCCCACACTAATAAAAAAAGTAGGTGCATATAATTGACGCCTAAAATTACAATGGACTATGCAAAAAAAAAACAACCCAACACTTTAGTATGATAAATGTTTTTAAAAGAAACAAAACAAAATAAAAAAATTGAAATTGTATTTTCCATGAAATTATTGCTATCACACTTCAGATATTTCCTTATTCTGCTAAGACAGTATGGGAAAAAATGTATTTTAAAAAAATCCACTTTTTTAATTGAGTGCATATATTATAGTATATATTACAGAATAATTATTTATTTATTTAAACTGATTCCCAGTTTGCAAAACACTTGGAATCCTGACAATGCAATTCTAATTTTAAAAGGCACATGTATCTTGATAAATATACTAATACAATTAGCAACTTGTAAAGCACAGGCATCTACACCAACTTACTAATGCAGCCTCCTTCTCTTCTTCAGTCATAAAAGCACTAGGAGAAGGACTACGTTTCTCTGCTGATGGCGACTTTACAGGCTCCCGTTCACTGGACGATACATGCTTTACACCAGCAGGAGTCTCTTTCTTATCATCATCATTTTCATCTCCGCTAGCCTCAACCTTTTCTTTTTCATTCTCATCATCTTCTTCTTCATCAGTATCCTGCAAATAAATAAGACAAGGATTATTTCAACTGGTCCAATAAATAACTTTTAAAAGTACTTTCGTATAATATGTTAATTGAAGATAATAAGAAAAGCTAATTTTTTTTTTGTTTACTAAATATTCAAAAACATTTACAAATTTGCTTTTCATTGGGTTGGCATCATCAGCCACATCTCTCTTAGCAGAGTCAGCATCCTGTTGCTCTCTCAAGACTGCATCTCTTTGTTGCTTAGTTTGCTCCTTTTCCATTAACTTTTGTTTCTCTCTCTCCATTTTTTCTAATCCTTCTCTAATCCAAGCAGGTAGGGCTCTTCTTTTAGCTGCATCTACAGCCAAAAATAGAATTACAACAAAGTGGAGTAAATATGACCAAAGCAAGCAAGCAATTGATTTATGTTAAAAGTGTAAGATCAGTTTCTCAGTTACCTATGCTGCCATCTTCTTCATCTAGAACAGCGTCTGCCATCATGTGGTTGTGCCTTCCAGGCCTGTGGTTGGCATGCTGTGTGTGGTGGTGATGGGTGTGGTGTCGCTGGTGTGACGTCCTAAGGGGTGGGTCGGGGAGTAGTGCTGGCTGAGAGGAATCACTATCTGCACCAACAGCGTCGTCCCAGTAGGGATTGTAGGTTCCATCTTTAGCAGGCGCATCCTAAGAGAAGTCAGTTGTACATTGTGATATTCATGTAAGAGATGCTGTCATGGTTCTAATTTTTAATTCAACAGTTAACTATCAGTGCACATAGATTCTTGGAGTGGGGCTATTGTCTGTCTTGTGTATTACAGAAACTATTTGTCTTTATTTACCTGTCCCATGACCACACCTGGGAGAAAATGAGGAAGTCCTGCAGACATTACCTGATTAAAATACAACTGACTGTCAACTGGAAAGCTGGGCATCTCTCCAGCATAATCCTCCTTAAATAAAAAAACAACAACAAAAAACAAATATATCAACAGAAATGAAAAATCAACAGTCATGGCACAAAAGCACAAACTAACATTATTAAAAGGATCAAGAAAATTCAATGCCCATCAAACCTTATTAGCTACGATTGTATTTCCCATCCAGACATCCCCACTAGGACCATGAGGCCACCAAGGCTGCTGCTGTGGCTGAACCCATCCAGGCTGGGTTGGGAAAGGCTGGGGGATGACTTCTGGTGCAGATGAACTTGCCATAGTTGCTGAAAGAGGGAACAAACTGACAGAAATGTATGTCAACTTTAAAAGAACCAAAGCTTTACAAGAAGTGTGATTTAATGTAGCATTCTTCATACTGAAAGAAAATAAATTAATACAAAAATGTAATAGTAAATACTTACCTGATGAGGAAGAGTTATCTTCACCATCTGAAGCAATCTCCATGCTGTTCTCATCTTCATCTTCTACTTTGGGCTTAGTCACCTGAGTAATTTTTTCCTCTTCTGCTGGTGGTGGAGGGGGTGGTGGGGGTGGAGGTGCAACCACAGGCAGCTCAGCTGGAGGCATAATAACTTCTGAGGCCCCCAAAAGCATCATGGGATGCGGAGGACCCACAGTCTCTCTCTGCGTTATCCATTGTTTGGCTAAGGCAGCCCAATCAACTGATAAAAATTATTTTACAAGTCAATCAAAAATGTGAAGCTTCAACTGTACAAGTCTCAATGATTCAAATGAAAGAAGTAAAAATATAAAGAATTTGAATGCAAAGCTTGAAAACAACAGATCTATTTACCTTGTTCATGGGGAACATTTTGATAATCTGATTGTTGCATAGACCATGTTGTACCAAATGGATTTGCCCACATTATGGCAACTTATACATTAACTGTTTAGATTTAATATTTACTAATTAATACACAAGTGAAAATGTAGCTGAATACTTTTTTTTTTATTTTAGTATCAGTAAAAAAACAACAAAAAAACATATTTATAACTGAAATTTATGTCATATGATAGATGCTAAACACAATATATTAATATATATATATATATTTTAATTTAAAATTGTAAATAATAAATCTGTAAGTGTATATCACACTGTTTTAACAGTGACTGCAGCACAGTCCATATTACAGTTGTAAACCAGCAATCAGCCTTTTTAGTCATTTATAGATTTAGTCTAGGCTGGGTGGCACAACTGAAGAAGGGGTGAGTGAGTGAAACAGTTAATAAAGTGAAAAAGGTGAGGTCAGGCGAGGGTATCATTCTTCTGATGGAAAAACATCAAGCTGAGTTCTTTTTGCTTAACCCCCCCTCCCTTATGTCATAGAAGAGACTGCCATTGTGAAAAGGAGGGGAACCACTAGAGATTGACTTATCAGGTCAAAGTAGACATACAACTTGTCTGACCAAGAGCCATGGCTGAGTGGCATGAACCACTGCCAACAATTAGAAAAGAAAGAGAGGAGGTGGTCTTTCCTGAGAAAAAAAATAAGCGCGCGTGTGTGTGTATGTTGTGCCCGCAGCCATACCCTCTGTAGCAGCTAATAGTAAATAGATCTAGAGACCCTAGATCTTTATTTCTAAAGATATTCTTTTCTACAGTGTATATTATATAGATCTAGATAGAGATAGCAATATTATAAATATATTATAAATCATTAATCATTATCTTATCTTAAATAATAAATAAACAGACGCTACTTCAAAAAAGAAGATGATTACGTCCTACATGTCATGCATTTAGTCATGAATGCATATTAACCAATGACCTAAATTCTGCCAAGTCACTGGTTTTCCTGGCTAGCTCAGGCAACCCATTCCATGCTCTAATAGCTCTAGTGAAAAAGGAGCATTTGTACAAATATGTCCTAACATATGGAATGAGGAATGTGCCTGTGTCTTTCTGAGTATTTTATTTAAATTTTGTATTTGATTATAGATTTAGTTCAGAACCCTGCTGAAGTAAGGCATAGAATTACAACTTCCCAAACAGGAAACACAGTCATTTAACTGATTAACATTTTTATTGATAAAGTTAATTAAACTTTTTAAATATTTTGTTTCCTCTTCAATCATTAATGACATTATCATTATTATTATTATCATCATTATTATTTATTTTAATGAATCATTATGAATTATTTTTATATAATATATTCATATTGTAATTGAAAGATATTGTCATGATTTTATTAGAAAAGATCTAATCTATTATCTAACACTTACGAACTAAAGTATAGTTAATAATATTATATTTTTATTGGTAGATCTAGACTCTAGACTTAGACTCTATAGATACTATATCTAGTGTCAGGGACTACAGAAACAGTAATATTACATATTAAATATTAAGTTATTAACAATAACAGAAACAGAATATAACAGAGCGTCAACAGTCACGGAGTCATTCAGAGTGAGAGTGACAGTGTCACAGACAGTCTCAAGACGAGACTCAAGAGTCGCTACTCCACTAGTAAAGACTCTCTTTAAACTACACTAAAAATAAGCAAATGCCATACTTTTATAAATATAGAGTCTAGATCTAGGAGTTAAG